GCCCCAGCACAAGGGCCCCAGGGGACTCTGGAGCATCTGTTCCAACCTCCTCTGCTGACGCAGGAAGGAACTGGGGCCCGATGAGGGGAAGAGAATTCAAGGTCACTTCAAGGAGGTGCCTGTGAGAGCAGGGGACCATGGGGAGCAGGGCTGGGTGGGCAGAGGGTGTGTCCCCTGTCGCTGTGGGGCTCAGAGGGCAAGGAGGTGGCAACTGTGAATGGAGCAGGCTGGGGGCAGGGGAGCGCCCACGCCACACAGGGGGAGACTATCTCTGGTTTAGCATCGTAAGTTCTATGGCTTGAGGAGCCCTCAGACTTCGGCAGGGATGCTTGGGCACCCTGGGGCCATGCCAGGCAGCTCCCTCCTCCCACGTATCTCTGCTGCACCGCCAGCCCCCCTTTATGAAGGCCCCTCATGTGTCCCATCTGGCCCAAAGCGGCACTTAGAGCAGGGTAAGCAGCTCTCCTGTGTTGTAGATGGAAAAATCAAAGCTCAGGGACACAAGGTGCCACCATGGGAAGGTATGGCAGGGCCAGCACCTCTCCACCTGGTTGGAGGGGTCTCCTGGGCTTGGGAAGCCTGTCTGCCTGTGGTCTGGACCCCACCCCTGCCGCTGTGTGGCCTGGGAATGGTCACTATTCCTCGGGCCTTCCTTCCCCTCCTTGCCCATGAAATGGAGCCCCCTCTCTTGGGCCAATGGTGTCCAGAGGAGCAGAAGTCAGCTTCCCACCCTTAGAAGAGGTTAAACGGGGTGGCAGGCAGTGAGTAAGTGAAGTTAAAGAAATGAGGGCCAAGGGATCATTCTGGGGTCCAGCAGATTTAAGAAAAGAGGAGAGACAGGAGCTGTACAAATGCAGGGGTGGGCGTGTGGGGGCCAGGAAGGGGAGAGATGGAGGGAGGGGGAAAGGCTTTCAAAGACAGAATGAAAGAGATGAGTTATTCCACTGCGGCGAGGTTGAGAAAACTCCACTGAATCTTTAAACAACCCTTGTCAATTATTCATCTGCTGGTATGAGGGCCCTCTGGTCCGCCACAAATCTCCTCTGAGCACAGGAGGAAAAGTAAGGGGGGAACTGGGGGAGTCAGAGAGACAGAGAGAAAGCCAGAGAATCGGAAAGAAATGGAGATAACTGAAGAAAGCCAGAAGCAGGGCGAGGCAGAAATAAGGGAGCAGGGGGTAGGGAGAATGGAGAGAGAGGGCCAGAGAGAGGAGGGTAATGACCCTGTGCTGGAATTTCTACATTGGAAAAAACACTGATCACACACTTCTTGAATAGCAACTGAGTACTTCTGCCTCTTCCGGGAAGCCTTTCTTGTTTCTCTCTCTTTACTGAGGGCTCACTAGGTGTGCCCAGCAATGCTGGGTAAATGTGGCACTTAAGAAGATAAACGGTCTCAGCCATGCCCCTTTGCCACCAAATATTTCCTGTATGCCTACTCTGGGCCACTCTGTTGTTTCCTGAAGTGTGGCTCACTCCTACCTGCTGGGAACTTCCAGACTCGGGGCGTTGGCCTCTTCCTCCACCACCCTGCCCCCCACAAACCTGAACACAGCAACTGGGCACCTGGCAGGGGTGGGGAGTTCTGGTTTTTGGAAGGCTGGAAGAATTGCTTGGTGATGGAGCTGCCGGGGAACAGGGAATCTTGGCACACGCTCGGTGCTTTATAAGCCCTTTGTGAATGGAACCCGGCCTGCCTGGAGACTACAGGGAGCCCCTCATTTTACCTACTCTTAACATTGCCTGGCTCAGCATGGGGTGGGCTCAGGAGGGATGGCGGTGAAGGGCACTGCTTGCAAGTGGTTTAATACTTGGGAATTGCCATATTCAAGACAAGTCTTAACATCACACTCTTGAGACTCAAAAGCCCACCTCTTCTAAAATAGACTTCCTGGGATGCTCAGAAGGGAGGTGAAGACTTCCTTTAGCTCTGCATGGGCCCTTAAACTTGACCCGAGATCACACCTGTGGAGCGCTGGCTCTAGTGGGTCCACTCGGGACAGGAGCTTTGCTTCACATGGACAAAGTGGCACCTGAAAGGCCTGCGTTAAAACCAGCCCAAGATGGAAGAGTTGGCTGGACTGGAGCTGAGGATGAAGGTGGACCCACGGGCGCACTCAGGGATGGGTGCCTAGTGGGCTCGTTGGGGCCACAGAGGTGACACTGGTGGGCCCTGGAGGTAGCGGGGAGCATCTGTGGCTCCCAGCAGAGAGGCCAACAGACCCTGCGTCCCCTCCACTTCTTTCTCCCTTCCCAGGTGTTTCTTTCTCCAGAAAATGTTCAATTTCTTATTAAGCCAGAGCGGGCTCTGGAGGGACTCAGAAGCAAAATTGTTTCCTGGGCTCTGGGGACTGTGCTACAAGACTAGATGCAGACAACCTTCTGTTCCAGGAATCAGGAGCTACTGAGAGGCTCACAGCCTGAACATAGGGGCAGAGAGCCGAGGGAGGCAGGTTGTCCCTGGGGTCCACTGCTACCCCCCCCCCCGGGCTCTGCTGCTGACCTCATGTCCAGGTGTCACACACCGTGATGGCCCCATGGCCACCCAGATGTGTTCCAGTGTTAGTCAAGTGTCTTCTCTTGCTCCGTGACTCTGTCCGCAGCTTACATGATATTTTCTATGCTCGTTACTATGTTCTACGACTCCATCTCCTATCAAACAGTGCTGTGTAATATCACTGTATGGCTTGGGTCTATTGCTATGCAACTATATTCCACCGCTCCCTCACTGCATTCTATTGCTTGTCACTCTGTCTCCTGGTTGCGTGAATGGGCTCGTCTATTGCTATGTAATTTTGTTTGGTTGCTATGGAACAGTGACCCATTGCTACACGGCTACCTGTGATTTCATGGAGCTACATATTGTTGTTACCCACCCATGTTCAACTGCTTGTGACAGGGCTCTACTGGGCCTGTGCATGTCTGGGTCCTACCCTGGTCCTGGCAGGCTCTGAGGAGTAGGTAGGACTGGAGCTGGGGGGCTGGGTCTCCAGGACCCAATTAGGGCAGAGAGTCAGAGGTAGGAATAGCCAGATGGTAAATCTGAGCCGAGAGAGGGAGAGAGAGACAGAGAGAGGCAGGAAGGAAGGGACGAATAATGGGTTGGAGGACAAAGGCAAGGGAGGGAGGGAAAATGGAATGGAACCAAGAGTCAGGATCAAGGAGGGAACAGGCTGGGCCTGAGGAAGGCTGTGATGGGCAAGGGGGAAGAGCAGGCCCACTGTACTGAATACTATGTCTGAGGGACCCAGTGTCGGGTTGGCTGAACGGTGTAGGGCTGGGTGTGCAGGCCTCTGCTGCTCTCTGGTATTCACCTGGTTATAAGCAAGACAGCATGGGATAGTGGGGTCAGGAAGCCTTGGGCAGGGTCATCCCACCTCAGAGCCTCCTCACTGCCATCCTTCATAAAATTAGGAGATTGGACTAGATGCTCTCTGAGGTGCTTTCTGACACCTTTGCTGTATAACCAGGAGTTCTATCAGAAGGCCCAGTAAGGCCAAGTTCGATCACAAGGCCAAGTACCAACATCTAGCCAGGTACCCAGCAAAGGGGAGGGTAGAGGGACCAGCCCACCAACAGGAGTGCAGGGGTGATTTCCAGAATCACAGCATCTCTGATAGCCTGTGGATCTAGGGGAGCCTTAAGCCCCCTTGCATGCACTCAGAGCCTTCTAGAATCTTGTCTTAGTGCCCTTGGGCCACTTATTTCTCCTCCTCCCCTCTGTTGCTCAGTCTTTTGCTCAAAAGTCACTCAGCTTGACTTCTCAGTGCCATCTCTCATGGTTTCATCTTTAAGGGAAGACGAAGACTGACTGCAGGCCAGTCATGCTGCCAAAGACTCCAAACACAAGGTCTGAATGCTTATTTTCAACCAAGTTGAGGGCTGAGCTGGCAGGTCAGGCCTGAGAGCTGCTTTCCCAAGGGGTAGAGAAAGGGGTATAGAAGGTCGCCCATGAGTGTTCTGGCACCTTCCAGTGGAGGCCTCTTCTGGGGTGGGCAGGGACACTCCATGTGGGAGCATCCTGGGCACACCCAGCAGACAGCAACCCTCCCTATTCATCTTATGGGACATATGCTAGAAGGGTGCAAAAGTGCCAGGGGAGGATGTGGAGGCTGTCAGTGGAGAGGGGCAGGTCCTGAGAAGAGGAGTCTGAGGGCTTCCCTATGGACCAGTGGTCTTGGCTGGGGCTTCTCTCCGGATCTTTCTGAGCAGCACTCCCCATGGGATCCACAGTGGAAGAAGGGAGGAAGCCACCCATGAATTCATCCCTGTCACTGGGGTGGAACTTTGACTGGACTGTCTTTTGTTTGCCCATTCTTTAGCTCTCTGCCTCAAGTGGCCAGAATTCAGCACCGACCCCTCACCAAATTAAGACATCACCTTGACCATCTTCACCAACCCTTTCCCAGCATCTGGTCAATTGGCAATAGCAGCCACAGCAGCTCCCATGACCAAGGACAGAGACTCCGTAATCAAAGATGGTGTCCTCTTTTCTTTGAGCCCAAATTTCTTCTTTTAGAAATTAAAATTAACAGAGTACCTGGGTGGCTCAGTCAGTTTAACATCCATCTGACTCTTGATTTTGGCTCAGGTGATGATCTTGCAGTTCATGGGTTTAAGCCCTATGTTGGGCTCTGCAGTAACAACACAGAGCCTGCTTGGGATTCTCTCCCTCTCCCTCTCTCCCTCTCTGCCCTTCCCCTGCTCATTCTCTATCTCTCTCTCTGTTTCTCAAAATAAATAAACTTAAAAAAAAAAAAAAAGCTAATGACTCAGAGGAGCTTCCCATTACCCAGCAGACATGCTCCTGAGAAAGTTCTGGGTTGATCACTACTTGAGCCAATGGATCCCTGCCTTGTAAGTGTTGCAAGGGTGTGCTTTGAAGGAAATTGTGTGAGAGTTCCATTCACAAAGTGAAGAAACTGTAAGGTGAAGAATCCATACTTTCCACCAGTTTAGCCTTGGGGTAAGTCACTTACAGAGTGTGTCTGAAGGGAAGTCTTACCTTGCCACCTGTGGAGTGAATCAGGTGGCAGTCAAACCTCTTCTCTGTGGCCCCCATCACCGCTCTGGCCTTCCTAATGCTAGGTGGAGACACTCACCGTTTCACGGGACATCTTGGGTACCAGAGGGTCTTCCTCTGCTTCCTGAGAGGTGGATGTGCTGTAGTCCGTTGTAGAGCTCACCATGGTGTTGGACTGGGACTCACGGATGGTACTCAGCTTCTCATCTAAGATCTTGGGGTCTAGGATGGGCAGATCTTTGCTGTTGTTTGGTGTCAAGAAGTTTTCTGGCTTCTGGGAAGAGAAGGTGCAAAGGATGTGTCTTTCTACCACAAGTGTACTTTCTAGACCCCCAAGCCTCTCCTCCTGGCTCAGGACACCCTGCATGCTTGGCCCCTGCCTACCTCTTACCACCGGCCCCCTTTCTCTGTGGGGCCTTACCACACTGTGCTTGGCATTCCTCCAACACGCCAAGCTCTTTCCTGCCTCAGGGCCTTTCCATCCGTTCTTCTCTTTGCCCAGATGTCTCATGGATCTTTACATGGCTGTCCCCTTCTCACCATTCAGGCTTCAGCCCAGATGTGATCTTCCTAGAGAGGCCCTGGCCTTTGACATAGAGCATATCCTCTCTAAAGTCACCCCTGCTCCAATATACTCTCTATTCACATAGTCCCATTTTACTGTTTTGAGTACTTAACTCTACCAGAACATTAACTTTCAAAAACCTGCCTGTCTCCCTCCTCTAATACCCACACGAGGAATATAAGTGACATGTAAGCAGAGACCTTGTTTATCCCCAGTGTCTGCCTCATTGTAAGTGCTCAATAAATATTTGTCACAAGAATAAATAAGCCATGCCATCTAGGACTCTCATACTTGGTGAAGTGACATTAGCCTCTAAAACCTCCATGCTCGTTTGACACCTTTTGCAGAGTAGATTTCTTTTCCATTCCATTTCTGCTGGTTATATTCCCATCTTCCCACCCACTAAATAGTCTGCTCTCTCTCTACTCTGTTGGGCCTCCTCTTTGGCCTTCCATGTTCTTTTTCCTCTTCTCTTCTTCCCGTGGCATGACTATTGCTCTCATCTCTGCTTTTCTACAACTCAGCCCCACTCAGATACCAGCCTCTCCACAAAATCTTGATGGCCTCCACCCACCAAGACTTGTGCAAAGCTTTCCTGGGATCTCCAGCCCAGCACCTGGCTCTCTCTGCTCTTAGACCATTCTCAAATTCCAGTTTGATTTGCCTTTTTTGTTTTTCTGTTCAAATTTCAAGATCCCTGGGCGTAGGGACATGTGTTATGTTTCCTTTGGGGAGAGGTTACTTTAAAGCTCTCTTGGAAATCCGTGGTTAGCTCTAACACATGCCCATTGTTCAAAGGACCTCAAAGGTCCTTCCTATATCAATTGTTGGAATTATGTCTTGGACACATAGCAGATAAATGTGCCAAGAAGCAAAGAGACCAATAGACACAGTGCCAACCAGGACAGTTCTCAGGGTTAGAGGTTCCTGAATGTCTGACCCTGAACAGAGAGTATGAGTACAGGCGGGCCTCTCTTTAAGTGGAAACTCTATATGAAAACCCACACATATGAGACAGATGAATCAGGACAAGGATGCTTAACTTTATCACTCAGATCCTTTAAATAATGATTCCTTTATTCTCTTTTAAAATAAAACTTGGGGTGGCACCTGGGTGGCTCAGTTGGGTATCCAACTCTTAATTTTGGCTCAGGTCATGATCCCAGGGTTGTGGGATTGAGCCCCGAGTCGGTCTCTGTGCTGAGTGTGGAGCCTGCTTGGGATTTTTTCTCTTCTTCTCTCTCTTCCCCTAATCCACCTCTAAAAATAAATAAACTTAAAAGAAGTAAAATTTGGTATGCAGGAATTCATTAACATGAAATGAAGTCTTTTCAGGCTTATGTCAGTAGAGTTAAGGGATGGATAGTGGTACAAGGACAGAGGTATCCAGGCAAGTATGGGCCTCATCTCCCACCCCTTGTCATATGGGTACAAGGACAGATAACTCTAAAGAGAAAGCAGCTATATGAGGACCCTTGGAATGAGAAGGGTGAGGCACTGGGCGACCTTGAGGTTGATTTTGGCACCTATTGTGCTTCATAACCCAAACTTCTGAGCCTGTTTTGTCTCTGAGCTTTAGGCCTTCTATCTCTTTCACCTCTATCTGCCCCTCCCAGTAGCTATCATTTAGGGAGGGCAAGATTCCTTTAGAGGCTCTCCACTGAACACACCCAGTGCCTCTGTGTAGCATCTGAGTCAGGTGATTTGGGGTTGCCTCATCTCTGTGTTTTAGATAGGAAAAGGCATCACATGTGTCTCCTGTTGTGAATAGCTAAGGACCAAATTGGCTGTAGTAGGAGAACTACAGAATGCACACCAGATGGATGCACAGGTAGATAGACACAGGAGAGAATGAAGGAAAGGACAACTGGCCAAGGCAAAGACTAACTCCACATTGACCAGGTGGCCGCTGGGACTGGGGCGAGATGCTGAGTCAGGACCTATAATGACATTTCTCCTCATTTCCAGGCAGAAAGCCAATCTCAATGCCCTGGATTTCATAGACTGCCATCTAATCCAGTTAGGGGAGGAAGTGGAAGTAATGAAATCAAGGGAGAGGTCTCCAGAGGTGCCCCGTCAATTCTAAAGCAGGGACACATTGCAGAGGGTGTCCCCGCCCCCAGAGCCTGTCTCCCTGACATCCACTCTGTGTGGGTTCAGCACCAGTTAGGTAAACTCAGTGGCCCAGAGCTGACATTTACTGGGCCCCTGATCAGTGCTGGGCACTTAGTAGGTACTTAAAATTTTTTTTCAAAAGAAAGGCAGATGGCCACTTGCAGTGCCCAATTTAATGTTTTTTTTTTTTAATTTAAAAAATTTATTTCTGAGAGAGAGAGAGAAGGGGAGAGTCAGAGAGAGAGGGAGACACAGAATCTGAAACAGGCTCCAGGCTCTGAGCTAGCTGTCAGCACAGAACCCAACATGGGGCTCAAACCCACTAACCATGAGATCATGACCTGAGCCGAAGTCAGCTGCCCAACTGACTGAGCCACCCAGGTGCCCCTGCAGTGCCCCATTTAGATATATTTGGAGTCTTGGAAGCTTGACTACTCTACATTCTCCTACTTTAAGAACTTGTTTGGAGGCTCTAGCAGGGGAGCTCAGCTACTCATATGCTTATATGCCCTTGACCAAGAAGAGTCGTCTTCTATCCACCAAGCTCAGTCACCTTCTGGAGAGATGTATGTGTAGTGGTGAGGGAGGAAGGGGTCACCGGTCTAGACAGCCAGATCAGCCGAATCAACCCTGGTGAGTAATGGGGTGAAAGATGTTACAGGCAGATCTCCCTCATTTCCACTCACCAGGTAATTTTATGTGGATTCTGAAATTTATTATGTATAATTCATTTCATTTTACTTAAAAATAAAATTAAAAAATGACACTGACCCCTCAGGCCACCCCAATGCCTGTCAGTCTCTGGTGGGCAGGTTGGTGGGGAGGATATTCTGAGAAAGAGGGAAGGAAAGGCAGAGTATTTATGGACATCAACTCTTCTGTCCCTTCTGACCCCCAGGTGCTCTTTCTGGAGCCCCTGCCAGACTCAGTGGTTCTGCTCTGCTCTGCCCTCTCCATGGCTGGCCCTGACTATATCTGTTCACACAGCTGCTCCATGCCAGAACCCCCCCCCCCACCTCCCATACCCAGCCTTGCAGGACTCCTGCCCACAATTCTAGTCCCCTGCTCTAATCAACGTTGCCAGGATCCACTATGGCTTCGGGGCAAGTGAGTGGGTGACTTTTATAGAAAAATCTTTAGACTTCCATAAAGTACAAGCCCCAAATGGAGGTAGTCTTGTCATATAAGGGGCACGAGGAGGACCACCATGCCCCACACAGTGCCTAAATTCTCCCTAACCATTCCTTTCCCCAACATTGCCTATTTACACTCCTCAGCCTCAATCTGCCCACGTTTAGAAGAGGTGATTTTGAGCTCCCTTCCTTGCTTCTCATGGGAAGGGAGCTTGTCTTGGGCTATAGGAAGGGGCCATGCTGCTGGAAATGATGGGAGGTCAGGGTGGGGGATGGGGGAGAGGGATAATGCTAAAATGGGGATGAGGAGAGGGCAGAGCCTTGGGGACTAAATCCTCCCTATGTAAGTAAGCCCAGCCTTTCCTAGCTCTCCTCCTTTATTCCAGGTGGGGTCTGCTAGCCCACCCCATAAGCCTGCTTGTTTGGTTTTCTATTTGGCAGCGTGGGGCTGACAAGTGGCCCCTCACTCTGTGGTTCCGTGGCTGCAGCATGTCCTGCTTCATTAGAGCTGTAATTGGAGACCTACTTTGAAAGCTCAAAGCAATGCACAGCCATGCACTGGCTCAGACTCGCTGCGCATCCCACCACTCCTTGTGTGCTGCAGCTGCCCCACACCACGTGAGTGTCATGGTGGAGAGAAGACACCCCTTCCTCATGCCTCTCTGCCCTCACCGTTGCCTGCCTGCAGAGGAGGGTCTTGGGAGACAGACCAGGTCAATAGCATCACAGGCTCGAGGCTTCTTGGGTCACCTGTTTCGTCCTCCTCCCCTAACATCTTCTGCCTCCCTCCTACCCACTCCATCCCCTGGATCCCCAATCATGCAAAATGCAACAGTTCCAGCCAGCCCTGGCAATTACAACTAGCCAGGATGCAGCTGCTGTCCTTGGTGCTGAAAGCGCCCGACTTCCGGCCTGCGCGCCTCTTGCCCCGCCCCGAGCCTTCTCGCTGGAGCGCACTTGCTCTTAATTCAATTAGCTGGCCCTGAACCCTCCCCAGGGAGCCTGGAGCGGAAACTGACAAATTCTGTTTAACAAAGACATTTGTCCCCCGCCCCGCCGGCCTTGGGCTCTGCCCGCCTGTATCCCGCTCATTAGGTATCTAACAAAGTGCGTCCCAAGAAATCTGCTTCCAATCGCTAGTAATTCAGGAGGCCTGATGCAATTTTCTCCCTGATAAGGGTGTCTAGCCCGCTGGCGAGCACCATAATGAGCCCGGTGCAGCAGCTCCCCGATCAGTCACTGCTTTGTCATTTCCTGTGGCCCCAGTTGTAGGTTCTTATCTCTTCAGCTGAAGGCGAGGCTCAGAAAACGGGCCCCTCCAAGAGGGCTTGCTGCCTCCCATGCATATCACAAGCCTCATTATGGCATCCCGCATGGTCTTGCAGCTGTAGTGGGGTTTGAAGCTTGGCGTCTGCCAGCAAAGAAGGGCCCGAGTGTTAATCCTCATTGGGGCCATAATTT